TGTTATTAGTTAAGAAAATTGATATATATATATTTATTTATTTATTTAATATATATATATATATATATATATATATATATATATATATATATATTAAATAAATGGGACTGATACTTTAGGATAATAGCATAAAACACCTTATTCTTTCATTTATAAATTCCATTTTTTACTTAAAGTATTTAGAGTTATTATTTTATCAGATTAATTACATTATTTCTTCATTCTATTTAATATATAATATTAGAAGAATGTTTCTTTTTCTTCAAATTATTTCTTTAGACGTTCAAAAAAATGAAGTAATTTATAAATATGGTCATACAATATAGTTCAAAGGAATGCAATGATTAGTTTCAAAATTAGAAACTATAATATTGATGCAGAATTAATTCTTTTATGTACGTTATAGGGCGAAAAATGTAAAAATTCGGTGAGAAAATGTCTAGATTTGGTGTTCTGCGAATATGATTTTCGAACTGACATGGAATAGTGCATATGTATAGTAAAGAAAGACAGAGCGAGCGAAGAAAGAGAGAAAGAGCTAGGTAGGGAAAAGTTAAGAAGAAAAGAAATAGAGAGAAGCTTAACAGTCCGCACGAGTAGTAACGTAACTGCTGAAGAGTGAAAGTAAAGTACGCGCACGCGCAAAGTGGGACATCAGAATTAAACTTGGCAGAACTATTATTATTTGCAAATGCGACAGATGAAATGCATTTATTTGGCATTTCATTTATATGGATTATGATCGCGCGACTTTATCACGTCATCATTTCGATCCTGTCTCTTTTTCCCAAAGACTCCTTTCCTTCTTTATCTTCATATTATCATTTATCATTTCATTAAGTTTTTTCCTCATTTCATCTTTGGCTTTTTATTGGTGGTATTAAGTTAAAATAAGGAAAATGTCATTTTCATACTTAAATTTGCTTTTAAAAGTGGAAATTTATGCTCCTCTCTTTGACATTTTTGTAAGGTAATTGCTCGGTTTTTTGTATTTACCCATGACGAATGTTCAGTATGGATTTCACTTGTCACTGATTTACATTTTTTCATTATGTTGTATGCTATAAAAATTTAGTTAACAGACTATAAGATTGTGAAATGTCAGTTAATTTTTACTAACCCCATTACGTAATAGTTTTTATTTATTTTTAATAAACTCTGTTTTAAACGTTTATCATAACGTTGCTAAATAATTCGATATATTATATTTTATATATAATGCTTTAAATATTATATATTATATTTTTAATCAACTGTAATAAAGCAAAATGTATATTATGTTGGTCAATTAATAAAATTTTATTTTATTCTTTAGATATTATAGTTTGAATAATTTCATGAAATTCTTAATGTCTAATTTTTAAAATAAAATTATTCCGATGATTTCTTAATCAAATATTTTATTAATTTTATCATACATTACGTTAAAATTTTTTCAAACTTAATATTTATTGAGAATAAATTAGAAGTAAAAATTAATAATAAAATAAAAATTACTTGTAATAAATCATCTTCAATTTATATTAAGTGTAAACAAAACAAAAAAAAAAAAAATAAATAAAGAAATTAAGAAAAATGAAAAATAAAAAGTAACAATGATAAATGCACTTGAGCTTCATAAGTAATTTTTAATATTTAGCATTAATATATTTTTTCATAATAAATACTTCATAATAAAATTTAAATTTCCATTTCTTTAAGATGTTTAATATTCATTTGCTTTCTAAAAGGCGATAGTAAATATTGTTGTCATAAAGATTAAAAATAAAAATATGAAAATTAATATTTCATATTAATATATATATATATATATAATATAAATACAATTACAGTAAGAAAATTATTTATAAATGATAGTCAAGATTTAATATCAATTCAATTTAGACAAACTAATTATTTTTGTACAATTCAATATTTACAATATATAAATGATTCCATTTCAGATTACACACATCTAGAAATATGCTTATTGATAGTAGTTTTTCAGTATTAATATTTATAGTCTTCCGAGATGCATTTTACTATTGCTTGTAACTCCTATATATGTATTTTATCAACTCCAAAGATTTTCATAATATTGACTAAACACATGTAGATGAAGCGTATCCGAATTAATTTAATCGACAACAAAAACTTAAAAATACAGATAGTTTTCATATGCCATAATTAAAAATTGAATTATATTATTCATATAATATTAATATTGTTAATAATATTATTATATAATTTAATGCGTCTAAGTGAAATCTTTTTTATTTCAATAAAATATTAATTTTTCGTAAAATTAATTTATAAAAAGATTACAATCGAATTTAATATTTGTTGTAAAATTACATGATATAGTATTTAATATATAATACATATAATTTGATTATTAATATAATAATAAATATATTATAATTTTTTTTTAAATTGAATTAATTTAAATTTCAAGAAAAATAATTATCTTGGATGAATTTTCTATAAAATATTATGAATATATGGAATAAGAAATTTTTATGTTCTAAACATTATTTTGATCTTGGACTTTAGTGTTTTGTATAATTTTTTAATAAGAGACTTTTTTTTTTATAAATTATATATATCCACTTTCACATATAATATAAAAAAGGTGAAAAAATTATTATAATATTAAATAATGTTAAAGTTTTTAATAAAAATTAAAGTGAATAGAAAAGCGTTTAAAACACGTTTGAACTTGTTTACTTAAATAGTTATAATATTTTATTAATTTTTTTGTTTTTGGATGAGGATCATATAATAATATTAAAGAATATTATAGGATAACAAAGTAAATTTAGTTTGTATAAGAAATAAAATTTTCATAATTTATTTGATATACTCTAAGAAATTATATCCCAGATAAAAAAAATTGGCAATCTTATTTAAATTATATTTATTCGTGGAAAAAATTATTTATTTTATTATTAACCTGATTAATACGAAATAAATTAAAAATTTTAAATAATTCATAAATTTCTTTTTATTTGAGTTTGTTTTTTATACATTAAAATAAATCTGAGAAATATAATTATATATATATGTATATATATTGATTGTTATGAAATAAATTTATTTTCGGTTTCATTTTTAATATAGAGAAAGTAATGTTAATGTAAATTATGAAAGTAGACATATTGCTAAATTTTATTTAATTTGATTTTTTATTGATTAGCTGTAGCTTATCCAATGAATAATTTTTTCGTAAAAGAATACTAAATCGGAAAATTGTTATTACCTTATAAATAAATTAATAATTTTTTTTTTAAACCTTATGATGAGAATTTATGTTCATTTACTAAAAAATTTATGATGTTTATAATGGAGTACAGTATATTTAGAATAACGAACTTTTTCAGGTCATAAATTTAATCTAGTAAAAGTATGAAAGTTTAAAACCGGATCGATAAATATTATTTAGTATGCGAATGTTGAGTAATATTTTAGATATGTAGCTTAAAATTATGTATTTCTATGAAATGTCGCATAAATGATTGATCTCAACGTGGATTTCAAAATAAAATTCATAAGATTTGGATAAATTAATAATAAATTAAGTTGCTTCAAATTATGTGCAATTCAGAAATTTTACAAATTATAAAATAGAATTCATTTTATTACATATACAGCAGAATGATTTTTTTATAGCTGTGTATTCACCAAACTATTATTTATTGCTTTAATATCATTGGAAATATACAATCGATACAATAATTCTTAAAGTTATATATTTTATATTTAAAATTTTGTATATTATATTTTTATTAAAAAAAAAAAAAAATTACCAAGGAATTTGCGTATTTATTGCGAAAACGTACGGTGATTCCGTTCAATTTAATAGTACCTTGAAGTAATTAAGTATTTTATGAGCAGAAATATTTATTCATTATTAAATTTAAATGTGTCAATATTTAATAATTAACTATGCTTATGTACAAAATGAATTTTAATTCTGTACAGTTTCATAGAATGGTTTTTTTTTATTTTTATTTCAATGATTTTTTAAAATTTATCTTGTTTCAAAAGATTAAAAATACTATATGTTAAATTCAGTAATTAAATTTTTAAATAGAAATATAAAGTATTTTTTTTTAACATAGTGAATCAATATACATTGAATTATACTTTCCTAGATTTATAGAATAAATTTAAATTTTATCTTTTTCAAATTTTTAATATTTTATTATTTTCTAAATTAATTTTATTAAAATAAAAAATTACTTTTAATTGTACATAATGTTGTATATATTATTATTATTTCTTATATAATATTGTTTTTACAATTTTTTTATTTTTCCAATGGATATTTTTCCGCCGATAAAACAATCATCTTTGATTCTTTTAACTTGTATTATCATTACAACAAATAAGCTAGCATAAATTTGATAAGAGTTTAAGTTTAAGTAAATTAAAAATATAAATGAAACATTAAAAAATCAGAATGTTCTTTTTGAATAAAATTTGGTACATCATTACAAAAGAAATTACTTTGAGTTTTTATATTGCAGATAATATAAATATTCATTAACTAATGTTAATTATAATATTATGAAAATATTTCGTCTATAATCAATTTTCATTGAAGGACTGTTTTTTTTTTTTTTATATATACAATTTATAAAATTGATAATATAATATAATGCTAAAGAAAACTACATTGTAAAATGTTACATTGTAAAATGTTTTTTTGAAACTATTAAAGTTATATATTAATTTATAAATATAATAAATATAATAATTTTGTTTGCGTTGGTTTAAATATTACATTAGTTTAATTTTGAAATGTAATTATAAATTTGACCAGTCTTTTTATTTTGAGTCTTCTATAAATATATTGAAGCTATTATTTTTATAGAATATTGAATTTCACTGTAAATTCTATAGTCCATCAAAAATAAGAAAAAATATTTTTAAATTAGATTGATAATGAAAGAAGGAAATGTTTTTGAATTTCCCTGATAAAACTATAATTGTATCGATGGTACTACATAAATTTTAAAATGGCTACGCTTAATAACACGTGTGTCTTTTGTAAGTGTCGTGTTTGTTCAGGAATTCGCTCTACCGTTGATCAAATTTTTCAAACTCTTCATATTTATGGTTGGATGCTCGATGTCTACGTCGTGGTTTGTTATTATTATTTTAAATATCTGCTAATTGTTATAAATCAAGTAACTAAAAATTTGGTCCTTTTATCGAGTGTTTTAAAATTAATCTGAAATGAAGCTTCGTTGCCAACATCTATTTCCTGAGTTGTGTATTAGAAATATCATTAATTGTAAATGTTCTTTTAGAATATATTGAATGTTAAATCAAATACAACTCTCATTACAATATAACAATTCTTACTTCATAAATTGTTAAGGTTATTTGTCACTTTAATATAATAATAACATTACAAATATAAAAGCAACATTAATTTTAGTAATTTAACAAAATTCGGCTTAATATAAATTTTATTTTATGAATTTTTTTATTATTATTTATAATTTGTTTACATAGGATGTAGTACTATTATACATTTGATACAATTATGTATTTTATATTTAATTTATTGTTTATATTTATTATGTATTTAATTGAATATTTTTTATAAAATTTCAATACCAAATTTAATATATTGCCATACAATCGGGATAGATATTATCATTTTCTCAATCAATCAATGTGTAAAAAGTTTTACACATTGAAAATAAATATTTTATAAAGGAAATATTATTCTGTATTTCATCATAATTTTATATAGATGTTTGTTTTTTTTTTTTTTTTTTTGTTTTTATTCAAACTCTTGTAGTTATGAAATAACAAAAATTCATTTATAGTTTTATAAAAATATTTAAAAATTATTTTTAATATTCTATTTTAATAATTGAAATTGTTTAAATTTTTATATATGAAATTCAGATGCATATATAATTTTTCTGTCACATAATATGGTTTAAATTATCGTAGATTTTAAAATAAAATATATAATATAAATAATCGTGTCTTTTATAAATTAAAATATGTTCAATTTTATTGTAAAAATATTTTTATATATTTTCTTAAAGAATACAATAAATTCATAAAACTTTTACTTTATAATTTGTATCTATTCATCATTTATAATTCTTGAACTTTGTACTGCCGCTATATTTATGTATAGTAATAGATAGCTATGTAAACATTAAAAATAATAATATTCGATAATCAGTTTGTAATATATGTTATGTTAAGTTTATCGATATTATAGGAATTAGTTTGTTGTCTTTGGAATTTACATAATTTATTTTTTTTTTGCATAATTTACTTTAAAATTAGTATATTTGTTATTATTATATTGTGATTTTATATAAATAATTATTATATTAGGTGTGTAATTTAACAGTTAAATAATTTAAAAATAATGCAAACTTTGAATACAAAAATTTTTCATTAATTTTGGAGTAATCGAGTGATGTATTTAAAATTAATAATAAAATGTAAATGTTTGTTATTATGTTAACAAATTTTTAATCTTTGTACTTAACATACAATTATTTTAAAAAAGGTAAACATGCAACATATCTCCTTTTTTTTTGTATATCTAACAGCTTATTAAAATGTCGATGAGAAATATTCAACAGTTTGAGTGCCAGAAATCTTAGCAAATTCATAAGTTTAGTCATAGGTAATCATACTTTTAATTATTATGCTATTTAGAAAACAATAGATTCATTGGAAAGAGATTTAAGATATATGGTTGAATTATATTTAAAATTTTTAATTTAAAATTTGAAATGAATCTTGACTACTAAAAATAGCGAATAATTGCTACAAATAAATAGTTTTATTAGAATTATCAAAGTTAAGTAATTTTTTAATTCGTAAAATATTTTTTAAATTAGAATTCTCCATTGAAAAGGTTTAATAATAATAGAAAAATTAAGTTTATATTAATTGGTTTTCGTTTTAATGTTATAATGAAATAATATTTATACATTAATTAAATTATAAAAATTACTAAACATTTTTACTAAATTACTAAACATAGACAAGTATTTTATTTGAAACGTCATATTCGATTCCTAACACATATTATATATTAATTATTTATATTATTTAATTGTTCAAGAGTCTCTAAAATTAATATTTACCAAATTTTTGAAAAAGTTATAGTTTTTAAAATTATTCTGTCAGTTAATGCAAAAATGTAAATTTCTTATTTTGTAAATATTCAAACTTTAATATTCAATATTTATTATAAAGTTGGAATATATTTGAAAGATTATTATAATATCATTACAAGCAATCAGACTATAGTTCAATATTGTATATTTGAGATCGAATAATAGTTGGAATAATATAAAAGTTTGTGAAAGTGGTACAAAGAAGGCGAAAACTAATTTTCTAGAATTTTTATGGTATGTTTTAATGTAGTATTTATAAAAACAAGGAAATAAATTATCAATTAATATAATAAAATTAGATTTAACAGTTTAGTAAAATAAAACGCTCTTATTTTGCAAAAAGCATTCAGTTATAATAATATACTAATTTAATCGTATTTTATATTGAGTTCTTGTGTACCGGATACCATAACAAAACTCTCGGTAACTTTTTTCTTTACATTTAGGAAAATTGTTAGCTGAAATGAAATTTTCGTTGTAATACTATGGAGCTCAATAAAACTAATGCTTACCTTGAAGATTTAGAGAAATCGTATTATATAAACAATATAAAAAAGTTAGAATATTGTTTTGCCATATACATTAAATTATAAGTACAATATCTTAAAATGTAAAAGAATTTAACCGTAAATCAACTGTTTTCTTTTTTAATCAGGGCATCTTACAACTACCTTCAGAAATGCATTTTTCAATGATTTTATTTAATTTTTAATTAACAAGTTTTATAAATGTATACAGGATTTTTTTCAAGACAATTTGTGGAACAGATTGCCAGCTGTTTGGAGAAACTTTTTAGAAGAAATTACTTCAGAAGAAATAGGGAAATGGATTCTGAAAGAGTCGGGAAGGTATATTGCTTAAGAATATTTAAATTAATTTAGAAATTTATAATTTTACTTTTATTCTTTTTCAATTTATATTGAAAATTTTAAGGCATATATAATAAATATAAACACGCCATTTCCCTTATATATAATATTATTATATCATATTTATTATTGTTAAGATTAAATTAATAAAAATGTACATTTTAATAAATTTCATACCCTTTTTTTTTTTTTATTCATATACCCTATTTTTATATCTTAAGATTTTTAGATTTTGTAATTTTTTATAAAATACTGAGTTCGCCGCACAATCGCGCCATTCATTATATCGTCTCATTTTCTTTTTATTTGGTAGAATTAATTCAATTATTTGATAAAACTCTCATCATTTTTTTAAATAAAAACATTATTCTTTTCAAAGGGTTTTTTCTTATTTCTTATTAAATAGTTATATTAGTAATATATTCATTATATAATCAGTTATTATATTTTTTTAAGTAAACGTGTATGGCCATTATCATTATTGGCTCTTCGAACATTTGTGGAAAGTGCAGAAATATGTAGAGATCATAGGAAAGAATGTATTTTAAAATGTTCTGTAAATAACTATAGCAATCACAACGATTTAATTAAAAATTTAGTAAAAAATAAGGAACCAGAATTGTCAGGAATAGATGTTCAGTTTAATAATATATTTAAGAAACGTATAAAAAAGAAAAAAAAATATGAAATAGATGTAATATCTCAGGTATGATTGATTTTGTATAATTATTTATAAATACAAGACTAATTGATAAATTAATATATTAATAAATTATGATAGATAACTGCTGATTGTGCAAAAATAACAAATTGCGAGTGCATTGTTGACATTGGAGCAGGCATGTGTCATTTATCAAGAATCTTAGCATATAAATATAATTTGAATGTTATATGTGTCGAACAAAATGAATTATTACTTGAAAATGCTAGGTAAGAGAATTAGAAATTCTGATATTTTTTATTTTTATAGCCTTTTCATCTTTAATATTGTTTAAAATTTGAATACTCTAGTATATAATGATTATTAAATTATTAAATATATGTATTAAAAAACTAAATTAATAATTAACGTCGAATGTGTTTCAGTTTTATTTGGCTAGATAATTCTATTGCATGTTACAATAGACATCATTATGTAGAATTTAAATTTTAATGAGATGTCGACTATTTCTGTTTTTAAATCATATTGCCGTATTATTATAGAGTACGGTTGCAAAATTTTTATAAAATCATCTTGAATTATTCATAGAATCAAGCTTTATAATATAGATCAAATACGTACTACTTATATATCATTAAACATCTATAACTGTTATTAAATATTCCAACATTTTAATTTCAATTTTAAATTGAATCTTTATCCACGAGTCTTTACGCAAATAAAATTAAAGTAAAATATAGGTGTTTAAAAGATTTAAAAAATCATATAAATGCGCAAGATTGAAAAATCGGCTTGATAATTCATATATAATTACATATGTTTAGAAAATGGGATGAGCAATTGGTCGCATCATTAATAAAATATATACCAGATTTTTGCGAAAGAAAATCGACGTACATTTCACTTCAGGTGGGGATTTCGAGCGCAGAAAGACGACAATTAGCAGATCGGTTGACAAATATTTTCATTAAAGATTTCAATATAACTAATGAGAAAAATGGATTTGGATTAGTTGGTCTTCATCCATGTGGCGACTTAGCTTCGACACTCTTGAGATTGTATTCAACTGATGAAAGAGCTAGATTTATTTGTATAGTTGGATGTTGTTATATGAAACTATCATTAAGGTAAATGTTTGCAAATTGTAAAAACATAAAAATACAAATTGAATCTTATGACAATCGATTTTCTTATTTTATTATCTAAAATTTAAGCAATACATTTTTAAAAATTAATAAACATATAAATACAAATTTAGAACAATAGAAATTAATTGAAATTTAGAAAATGGTACGTAAAGGTTAAATTTATAAACGACTGGTCATATTAATAATTATAATTAGAAGAAAGTAGTATTAAATATCATCGGATACTCTTATATCTAAATATAAAATCGGATTTTATGTTTTGGAATTCTATTTAGCAATACTCTTGATACATAGGCCACGACGTTGCCTTCTATTTGTACAATCCTAAAACCGTCGCACATTGAAATGTTGCAAGCATCCTGGTTACTATGGTAATGGTCGATAAAAAGTTAGGTTGCGTTACCCGTGTGATATTTGTTGATATACAAGTGTTTAGGTTTTCAGTAAGTATAAGTTTTTGTTCTATATTCTTTAATTTGAAATTATGTTGTATGTATTAAATTATAATTTTTAATATCAAACGAATTAAGGATCAATTTAAAATTAAGATAATTAAGACACATTGTAATTTTTATATAATAATAAAAGAAAGTATTATATATTATTTTGATTTTATTTTCGAATTAAATTATGAAAAATCTTAGACTTCCGAACTATTTTCAAATGTGTCATCTAATTTTTTTCTACTTCCAGTGAACGTGATGAAAAGGGATATCCAATGAGTCAATATTTTGCAATAAAAGAGTATAATAACAAATTGTCTTATGCCGCATTAGAAATAGCATGTCACGCCTTGGAAAAGCATTGTGATAAATTAAAAACAAATAGTTATGAAGACTTGAAAGTAAGTAATTAAAATTGCGTATGAAAAATAGTTAGAATATAATTTTTTATACGTAAAAATTTATATTTACTTTGTCTAAAATAAAATAATAGTTATTTAAAATTATTCTTCATTAAAGAAATATATTTCTAGTAATGGTAAAAGTGAAGTTTTTAAATTTATTTCCTTTTATATTATTTGAGTAAGTCAATATTGAAATTTGTATTAATTAGGTTCATGCATATCGTGCTGTATTAGAATATTTACTTATTGAAAAAAATCCTAATTTGCGGCATACTCAATTAAAAAACACTAAAGTCAAGGAAGATACAACGTTTAAACAGTAAGTATCTATATTTTATTTAGCATGTATATATATATATATATACAAAGAATCAGATTTATTAATTTTATAAGAAATTTTTAAAAATCTATTTTTAGATATTGTGAAATTGCCACGCAAAATTTGGAATTGAATAATCGTCCAACTGATTTAGATTTTGAAAGAACTGACGTGAAAAATTATTTACAGCAATGGAAAAGAGTTCTTCTATTTGGCTCCCTTCGTTTATTACTTGCTCCACTAGTAGAAACATTAGTCTTATTTGACAGATTTTTGTACTTATCAGAATCAAATTTATCACCATCATTAAAAGCACAGTTTGATGCTCGATTTTCCCCTCGTAATCTTCTTCTTATATCTATGAAATAAAAAATATTAAAGTAAGAAGATTTGAAGTGTTATTGTTAATTATAAAATAATAATATAATTCATATTTTATTAAAAGTATATTATATGCGATTGTTTTTAATTAATACTTTCAATGAAATTGAAAATGTATTTGAATTTATGATATATTTAAGTTTTAAATTATAATATTTGTTGATATATATATATATATATATATATATATAAAGTAATAATATAATGGTAAGATGTAGGTGCATAACAGTCTTAATCACATACTTAAAGTAGAAACAGTCACCAAGAAAATTACAGGTTTTTTGTCACTTAACTACTGTATTTTTTATTAAAAGTATTTAAAAAATTTTCTTGTGAATTAAATATCAACAAAAATAGGATTTGTGACAAGTAACAAGTCGAAAAACGAAATTTAAATATATTACCGACGTTTTTGTTAATGTTATATATTGTTACAACAATTTAATACAATCGATATTTTTAAAAATGTGTATCGAATTTTCAATTCTGTTAAAATAAATTTTGGGAAAATAACATTAATTTGTATTAAATAAATTTTCTACAATTGTGATTGGAGTTCACCACGGTAAAAGTCAAGACCATTATACATTAAATACGATGGTATCACTTTATAATGCGTCATTTGGCAAATTTCAAATTAGAATCAAATTTGATCGACAAGTATATTGTAATATGATGAATCAGGCATTAATACGGTATTATAAATATATATAAGATCGTAAAGATCAAACGGTCAGTTGTATAATTTGAACTAATTTGAAATTTATTAATTATAAATACGTACGATCTAAAATGTCATTGAATGAACTTAAAATATTTATCCGTTGCTTATAAAGAAAGTTATCCTAATATATAACAATAATAATAATATACTGAACTTGAAGATTTAGAAGAAGAAAATAATTTAAATTAAATATTGGTGGGAGAAATGCTAGTCAATAGTTAAGTCTGGTAGTGGTGGTAAAGTAACCAACATGTACCGACCGATGATTGTCGAGTGTTGCCGAATAATTCTACTTCTACATCCGTTGAATGCTGGTTAATAGTGGCTAATGCTCCCCATGACGTCATTATAACCGAGCAGAAGCGATAAGACCGTCAAAAAAGCAAGCGAAATAGAAGAATTGTATTGTTCTATAGCTACTCCTCGCAGAAACTCAAGTTAAGCTTGTTTTTTTGTACTTTCGTCTGCGTTAAAATGTCTTACGCTTATCTATTTAAATACATCATTATTGGGGATACAGGTGAGTCTACCTTTGTATAAATCAGAGCCTGTCTTTTTGGAATGTAAATTGCCTTCGTGAGTCTGTATTACGTCGTCTTGACAGCTCCATTGTTTTCATCGTTCATTGTGATTTTTTCTTCTTTTTTTACGCATCACCTGCGAGATGTTGTACTATTAGCAATTAATGCACTTTTATTTTGATGAATTTTTCTGAATTTTCGAACTTTTCTGATGCATTGTTCAAGTGACACTAGGTATTTACCTGAGACGATATGTTTTCTGCATTCTTACGAATTTGTTACACGTTAACAATAAGTCGTTAATAGATATTTTTGGATAATATCCAAATGCATGAGAACAAATTTATCTTAATTTTTCTTTTATTCCCAACTGTTTTGATTATTATTATTATATTTTTCTCAATTATGTTTTGTTTATATTTAAGCTTTAAATTCATTGTTGAGAAAATATTGATGACTTATATTTTCATAGGTGTTGGGAAATCATGTCTTCTACTACAATTCACAGATAAGAGATTTCAGCCTGTGCATGATCTTACTATTGGAGTTGAATTTGGTGCTCGTATGATCACTATTGACGGCAAACAAATTAAACTTCAAATTTGGGATACAGTAATTAGTTTGATTTCATTACCTTAATTAATAAGCAAAATTGAATGTTATTTTGTTTATTCAATAAAAATTCCTTATAAATAGGCTGGTCAAGAAGCATTCCGATCTATTACTAGATCATATTATCGTGGTGCTGCTGGAGCATTACTTGTATACGATATTACACGTAGAGAAACCTTTAATCATTTGACAACATGGTTAGAGGATGCGAGACAACATTCGAATTCTAATATGGTTATTATGTTAATTGGAAATAAAAGTGATCTTGATGCTCGAAGAGAAGTTAAAAGAGAAGAAGGCGAAGCTTTTGCTAGAGAACATGGACTTGTTTTTATGGAAACCAGTGCAAAAACCGCAGCAAATGTAGAAGAAGCTTTTATTAACACAGCTAAAGAAATTTATGAAAAAATTCAAGAGGGTGTGTTTGACATAAATAATGAGGTGATTACAGTTTTTATAAATTTTATTTATTTTATCGAAAATTTTACAAAGTTACTAGAATTAATTCAATATTTTTATAAATTTAAGAATATTAGCAATATTTGTTAACGTGCTTCTATCCTTACTATCTGCAAAAAAAAATTTATTGTTTTTTCAGGCTAACGGCATTAAGATTGGACCGTCGCATTCACCAACTATTCCTGGAGGCATATCAGGACCAGGAGGTCAAGGTAGTGCACAAGGAGGTGGTTGCTGCTAGGGACTGGATTTTACATATTCACCATTTTATCCGTCAATGATCTGAACTGATTATCTCATTCCTGC